GAATTTAAATGAAGCTTCAAGTAGGAGAAGGTTTTTCAGACGCCTGCATTGTTCAACTTCTGATACAGCAGAAACAAATCACAACAAAATTGGTTTTATCCAAAAAATATTTGGTGACAAGAAACACAAGCCACCATATGTTCCCTCTAATTTACCCATCCCCATGTTCCCTTGTACCTATCTTCCCTCTAATATACTCATCCCTATGTTCCCTGGATCCACATGTTCCTCAGTACAATGCCTGCACTGTAATTCAGATTTTTATTGTCATTTCTATTAAATGACATATGAAGGAAGAGCCACGTGTCTTACATGACTTTCAGTAATAACCCCAGAACACAGGTCCCAGGGATCATGGGTATGGACCCTGAATAATACCACTTCAGTGCACCAAGACTCAAAACATAGTCAGTAACAGAAACTATCAAAGAAAAGAATGCACATAAATGCATCGAGTAAAACAAAGTGGAACTGACTAAATCCAGAGAGCACTTTTCAAAACACCAAAACATTACAATCTTCTTGCTCCAGCCTCTCATCCGGTGTGTGTACACAAATAGTTTTAGGGCAGCTGCTGAAGAAACCTCCATAATTACTGTGAAAACCTTGAAAAGGCAAAGAGGAGCTGCAAACACGTAACTAGATGTTTCAGTTCTCTGGGTTAACGCCCACTCTGCCTGGAAGCATTTGATGTAAACATTGGTTGGTGTGTGTGTGTGTGTGTGTGTGTGTGTGTGTGTGTGTGTGCGCACTGAAAGTCGGCTTTGGGCTCTTCATTTAAGTTTAGTTCATGGCCAGGCAGCAGCACTTTGAGACAAATTAGCCCTTAAATCCATTAAAAACATTCAAAGTTAGTTTTTGTTTCAACTCTAGACCAACTGAAGTTTTAAGAAAGGAGGTTAAACTCACCCACCATCACGCATCTCTGTACATTATGTCCAAACTGTGTGCACATATTGTTCCATTGTTACAAGAAAAACACAACTAATGTCACTGAAGCCAAAAAGCTGCAGTTTTGTCTCATCAGTGACAGAAACTTTGATTCTTGTCAACATCCCTTTTAGCCTTTTTTGTTTTTCTGCCAGTCGTGGATCCTCCTGGATCTTTAACCCTTAAAGCAAAAGATTGGAGATGTGATCAGAAACTTTCATAGCTTGACCTCTGAGTTCAACTTGAATGGTTGGCTTCGTTCTTACTCTGTCGTTTTCAATATCGATCTGATCAACCTGKAGTCGCATTGCCTCTTGCATCCACATGCTGGGAAATTGGCCACATTCCCTTGTATGACCTTTAAGGAGTCACAAATACAAAAAGGAAGTTTTAAGATATGTAAAAGATAAAGGAGACATAAAAAACAGAAAGGATGCATCAAGGAGACATGTAGACAAAAAGGATGCATCAAGGGAACATAGAAAGACAAAAAGGATGCATCAAAGGGACAAAGAAAGACGACAAGGATACATCAAGGGGACATAGAGACAAAAAGGATGCATCAAGGGGACATAGAAAGACAAAAAGGATGCATCAAGGGGACATAGAAAGACAAAAAGGATGCATCAAGGGGACATAGAAAGACAAAAAGGATGCATCAAGGGGACATAGAA